ATTGCACAATAATAAAACAAGACACAAGACTAACACAAAATGGTATTTATTGCTGCTTACGGCAAGGTGATTATGGGAATTTCTTTCTGATACTCATGCATGGACACACGGAGCACAGTCACATTGAGAATATTATGCACTGAAGCAACTTTGCAACTTATCATCCAGCAGCAGCAGATCACAAGACACAGTCTACTGATGTACAGCATCTGAAATCGGAACCTTGGTGAATACCCACCCTTACACCACATAGATTAAAGACTCAAACTGTGACAGGTTATAGCTTTGAGAAAAGCCAATATTTTTTTGACATAAACCTAATTCTATCTCTGCCTAATTACAGTATCATCTTTGGCAAATTATACTGTGAATAGAAATTAAATAAAGAAAACAAACAAACAAAAAACATAAGGTCATATATAATAACCATATAACTGCATTGATATATTGCAGAAGTAAACTCATGAGCCTGGTAACTAACTTGTTTTCAAGGAAATTTTGTGCACACATGAACGAGTCTTATAATGACGGTGGCATATTCAGGCCACCAAAAATACATATCAGAGTCATTTATCACAGTGATATATCCTGAGATGTCTTGAAAAGACCCATTATGGACCAGCCTGGCTTTATTGTACGTATACACCTGCCTTCTTTATAATTCATATGTGGGTGGGTGCCTAATTATCTCAATATTCTGCCTGATTGAAAGTACACTAAATACTTTTGATAGCATGTATAGGGTGGAGATGCACACCCCCATGAGAGAGATACCAATTAAAGATATTCAAATCATATATAGTGAGTCAGACTCAGTCTGCAAGAGACAGTGGTGAAACACATGGCTTAAAAATCTTGTGAAATTCCTACACCTACAATAAATATGTTATTAGGAAATGTATTAACCACAAGCATACGGGTCTTGCTATATTTATGTAGTAAGATGCTGTCTTAGTCTGGGTAGGCAATGCTATGGCTATTCACCACTCATTCACGCCATCAGTCACACATCTCTCTTCCCACAGGAAGAAGAATAAAGCAGAAAAGTGGAGGGCATATGCCATGTTGATACATAAGTTAATGGCACCATGATCAACATTTCCTGTCCGCCCCTCTATGACCTACTATCAAAAAAGGCAAAAATGTCTAAAATAATAATAATACTCATGAAAAATTACAACTACAGTTTCATACCTGCTGTGGTAGTGGGAATAGGGCAGGACCCAATGAAGATGTCTGGAGACTGAAGAGTAGCTTCAAAAGATTCTTTATTTCATGCATGGAGAGAAATCATACACAGCTTTCCAGATGCACAGAGTTTCTCTGACTAACTGGTAAAGGGGCAGTCCCTTTATACCAAAGTAACGCGATACACATTCATGAAACTCATACTGTTATCTTACATTTTAATAACTCACATTCCTTCCCCAGCTGCCTTTGCAACATCAAAAGGACAGCAAGACCTTGACACTTAGTGGGGCTGCCACACTCCTGGTGCCACACTCCCTGTTCTTCTTCACACAAGACACATTTATGGGTGCCAGACATAAATTCTGTGTGAGATGCTCAAACTATGCAAGCTGAACTGATAAGCTTGCTCAAAACCTATTAAAGCTGACTGATAAGCAGTGCACAAAATGATTACAGGTCCTGAGACCATTAGCACAGCCAGAGCAAAATGTAAATACCATGTTTACATTTCTTACAAAATGGCTGCCTTGCTAAATTATTTGACAACTTTCATGGAATATTCAGGTCTATGCACTCATCGCTTTTTTATGGACAAACATTTTTCCTTGGCCTTTGTGCAGCATTACTTAAAACTGTATTAATCAATATGTTTATATTATAATGATCATGGGAAAGGGGCTGTTAAACTAGCTAAGAACACATTATCAAAGAGAGTTTGATCATACTGTACTTATTAGTATGATGAGAGAGGGTGGACTTGTCTCAAGAGTATGAGGATGGCTGAGATGCGATGTCTTGCACGAAGGTGAAGGCGGGGAGACATGAGTGACCATGGTGGTGGCAGGAAAGGGTGTACATGAGGTGTGATTTCCTGAACCTCCAATGTGCATCTTCATTTATGGTGACAAACCCACAGAGAATAATCACCCAGTTTGGCAGCTTACCCCCTTTCCTTATAGTTTTTTTTTTTGCCTCTTTCAGCTCAGTGTTTTGGTTTTCTGGCTCACAGACTGTTCTCCTAAACCATTTTCGAACCAGCAACAAGCAGATGTTTCAAGAAAATGAAAAGGTCTGAACCCCCTGTGTACTGCTTGCCCAGCACTAATTAGGAGGCAGACATACTGTAGTTAGCAACTTTTAGCAGCTAAGGAGCCAGATATTTTCCTTTGGGTTTGGAGAGATTAAAACAGAACTAAAAGGACAGTGAATATTTGACTTACATTCATCAAATGGTCAGAAACACAACTTCAAATGAATGCTAATGTTTCTATACATGTGTTACATGTGTAAACAGGCAACGGAGTAACACAACAGTAAAAAAAAAGAAAAAGGGTTGACCCATCTAACAATTTATCACATACAGTTTATCAAGCTCTGACACTTACATTTCATCAGTGCTTTGTTTATTACAATGTGCTTTGTGAGTGGTGTCATATGTTGTGTGTAGTCCTAGTGAGGCTTTCTGCTCTGAAACTGAAAAAGCTGCCTGGCAACACCTTTGCCTCCTCTGATGGACTTCAGGAGCAGCGTCTCTCATCTCTTCATGTGAGCCACACAGTGACACTAGCATTGGTTTTCATATCACAAAGTAAAAAGCAATTGATTTGGGACCTTTTAGGCCCACCCTGAGGGATTTCCATGATTAACATACCTTCACCCAGAGAGAGGGAACTAGTCAGTGAAACTGCCTTTGATGAAGATCAAAACCATCAATGCCTGGTCAATACATGTATGCACCTACAGTCGAGAAGATCCTCCTCCAGATGTCTTAGAAATAAGTATTCTCTCATTACATGGAGCAAAAAAGAGATTTGAGATGCACTGAGTGCTTGATGTTGTGTGCATAATCAAGTGTGTGCAGCTCTTCATTTCCCCATCTGTTTAAACTGGCGCAGTAATACACTACAGCACGACTCTCAGAGAATCTTGAGGCTTACTATTCAGTCAAGTTACAATCCACTGAGGATTGGCAGCAAATTTTTCAGTACTTTGTTTTGGCTTTAATGCTTCTACACTCATATATTTGAGATGAGTGAGCTGTCAGTCTCTTATCTGTCTGGCCCTATTCTCTTTTTTAGTGTAGATAAACAAGCAGTTTATCTATGTTGGCTTGTGACCTGCCCTGTTTGAAGTAGCCAGGCACGAAGAAACACAAAATATTAACATCTGGCTCCAGGCATCCTGAAGGGGTAAAAGTCCTAGTGAGACCTGTGAAAGACGAATAAGACATGCAGTTTCAAGCAAACCACCTCAAATAATAAGAAGCAGATACAGTACATAATAAAATGTATTAATGGGCAACGTTTTATGATTACCTCCAGCAAGGAGGTTATGTTTTTGGTTCTATGTGTGTGTTTTGTGGTATCATTGGCATTACAACCATTTATTTAGAACATTAGATAAATCTAAATAACTGCAGAATGTTTTTCATCTTTTAACATTTCTTATTCTATGAAATGTATTTTGATTATGCAGCAGAAGAGGTTGAAAGTTCTTAGATCTGACAACCTAAGTGATTAAAACCAGTGGAAAAACCAGGAAGGTCAAGAAAAACTTCAAACCTTTGGTGCTAATTATTGCATTTGGATCAGTGGTATCTCTGGACCACTTATTAAAGATATGTTGGCTGCACTCTATTTCACCCCTTGCTACATTACAAGAAGATGCAAGGTCAGCCCAGGGGAAAGCAAATGGTGAATTTAAATTAGATGGGCCCACATGAGAAAAATTAATAGTTACTGATATGTATAAAAATAAATTTAATAAAATAATGCATCATGCAAATCAATAAGATGTCTGTCACTTCCAACATCCTTTTTTTGGCTGGGCATAGACTACACTCACACAATGCAGGCCTGTACTGATGGCTACTACAGTAACATTTGGATTTACACAGCTGCATAAAAAAACTCAGTCACTAAATGAGCAGAGACATTTTTGTTCCAGAGTCCCAGCTTATAGAAACAAGGATCTATAAAGGATTATCAGTTTACGCAGGGGAAATGCTTGCAATTCTGTTAGCTCTACATTGGATAGAGGATACAAGACCATTGAGAGCAATTGTTCAGATTGAAGTTTGTCATTAGCCAGTTTACAGTACAGTCATTCAGACAGCAGAGCAGATGTTTTGTTAGCAATAAAACAAACAAACACAAAAATTCAAATTATGGGAACACTGTAACATTTTATGGGTACCAGCACATACTGGTATAAAAATAAATGAAATAGCAAATAAGGTTGTGAAGGAAGCCACAACAATAACCACATTCACTTGCCAGTTAACTTCAGCATGGCAGAATTCAAGAGCATTATTAAGGAGAAACTGAAGAAAAGGTGGTGAAAGCAGTGGGAGGAGGCACTGATACATACAATGGTTTTACAGAATTCAAAGGAAAGTAAGTGAAATGAGATGAACAAAAAGAAACTAGAGAGATGAGATAATAATAAGCCATCAACATTTGAATATACAGGACTAAAAAGTACACTTTTCAAAATAGGAAAACAAGAAGAAACACTAGATGTTGTACTATCAAAAATATGAAACAGAAGGAAGGAATCTAATTCAAAACCTCAGAATGATAAAAGTGAACTTTGATCTAACAGATATTTAGCAAAAAAAAGAACCTAGGAAATGAGTGTTATCAATGTTTGTTCCAGTATTTTAGGATAACTAATGTAACAGAGAAGGTATGCCTTTTTATTATATTATATTTTATTATACTGTAAATTTGAATGTACTGTATTGTATGTTTATTTATTGTATATGCTGTATTAGTTTCCTGATCCACACTTCTTAGCAGTTGGTGGTGGTAATCCACCAATTCGTCTTTTATAACCGACCATAAACTTCGTGCAGAAGAAGAAGCGACAGAATCCTGGGAACATATAAAAGATTAATAAAACACTTTTTAAGGTGCAGAGGAGTGAACATTTTGCTGTGGTGTTAAGAAGAGCCTTCGGAAATTTGCAAAAACTGCGGTAAGTGTTATTAAATGAGATTACTGTTTTTTGAAAGATTGCTGAATACAGTGATACAGAAAAACAGCTACTAGCTAAAGGGCTGCTATTGCTAGTAAACAAGAGTTAGTACAGTAACGTCACAGGTGAGCAGAAATTAATCACAATTTGACCCACAGGACAGTATATTTTACCAAACACAAATTAAATTGGTAGATTATTTTGTTCTGTAACGGTACGTTAATATTGAGTTAAGTGTTCCATGGGTGGTGGTTGTTCTAATGGTAGGTTAAGTAGCTAATTAATTGAACAGACAGGCTAAAATCCAAGCTAGGATAATTGGCCACAAAAATCATAATTTCAGCATTAACTCTCTGCTTTTGGCTACTGGTGTTAGACTTGCTGTCATCACAGTCTGTTGAAATTCTTTTAATTTTGCATTTTTGTCAGGCTTATTGGTTGACTTACACTCCGTTTTTAGGAAATATGCCTAAACGATTCAAGGGTAATGGCGCGTTCTACTGTTAGCTAACAGCTAGAAAAACAGAACTTTAGCAAGCAGTTAATCCGAATGTAATTTGAAACACTGTTATGCAAAAGACATAAGCTCCTTTAAAAGATTCAGTTAAAAGGAAATGGAGCCAGAACATTTAATTTGTCATTTGAACTCTAAAGCCTAGTAAATCATTTACAGCAGTTCACTTTGCTGAAAGCTGATTATTAGAAAGCTGCTTTTGAAGTAAAAGTAGTAAGCAAGAAAGGAAGAAGAAGAAGGTATTACAGTTAATTCCTATAGCAGGTTACAGTGAACAGTGCAGAAAAACACATAAATTGAGACTCTTTGCATGTTGGGATGGTTCCCAAGACACCTACTGTACCTCTGCTCATTTTGATCCATTTTCAAAATGAGAGCAGTTTGTCAAGAGAACTTCATCTTGGATTAACAAAATCATTCATCAAACCACGTTCAAACTGCTACAGTGGTACATTGGTAGAAAATGTTCCTGATCAATTTGCTAGCACTGTTTGTTGCACACCTGTTATATACACTTTGATTAATGTTTAATATTTCTTGTAAATGGCTGCACCGAGCCAGTATTTTGGCCCTCCAAATACAGGTCAGTTTCTTAGTTGTCATAAAATGAAACATGGCAGCTTTTAAGAAAATATATTCACTTCAAGTCCTGACTGCTTTGCAATATTTACACTTGTTGGTTATTGCAGGGGAAAACTGATTGTGCACATCTTTATTCTTATTGCTGACAGTGCTTGTTAATAATTCTTTGTTTCTCATCCTTCACTAAGTGCAGAAGTCTGTGTCTGTGTAAGCGGCACTTTGTTAAGTTGAAATGCTGTGTAAGATTGCAGCAAGTCACAGACCCATTGTTGAATTTAACAGCAAGGCTAAATATGTACACTACCTAAAATCAACACAGAGCAATTAAAAGCAAAATACATGTAGGAGTGTTTTGCTTTTTTGTGCTCACATATTAACAATAATAAAACAAAGGCTGCATGCTATTCCTAGGACGTGGGCCGTAGTCTAATCAGTAATATTTAAACATGAACACATCACACTTGAGTCAGAAAATAGCATGAAAGCAGTAATCTGTTAAATTTGGTGGTTCACTCCTGGCTTCCTCCTGTCAACATGTCAGTGTGCTCTTGAGCAAGTCGCTCAGACCTGGTTGTTACAGGTGGTTCGATTGGTATGTGGTAGTTTGTCACCCCTGGTTTGTAAGTGTGTGAAAGAGAGGAAAACTATAAAGCACTTTGGATAAAGCTGCTATGTACTGTATAGTAAATGCAGGTCATCTAGACGTTGAGATTCACATGCCATTGTGATGTGCGTCTAATCAGTTATGGCAAACCAAACGGACAGTGTGATTGATCACTCATTGTCAGCTGCTGATCTGAATAAGACATGAGGTTGATCATCTCATGATCATTTCAACTAATAAATGACTGTCTAAACAATTGCTTCTCTTTAAATATATGTGGCCTTTGCTGTGTGATTTTTGTCTTAGCTCTTTTTCCTCAAAGCTTTATATTTAAATATATGTCTAATAATTTCATTTCTTATTTCATTCGCAAAAAAACTCTTGTTTCATAGGACAAAAAATTGCAACAGATGTTTGTACCTACATGAAGCTAAAGCCTGCGTTCCTGTTTTGGCTTTTGAAGTGGCTTAGTCATTAATCTCTGGAAGTCTCTTTAAGAGGGTTTTAATTATTAATAAAAATGACTGGGAATCAAAAATGCTCATGTGGATTACTCAGAAGAGTCTAATTGGCTTGCAAATCATGTGCTGGTGGAGGTTAAGTTGTATGGGACTGAAGCCTGGTCCCACAGAGCTCATTTGAGAAATCTTACAGTCCAGTGCCTCCAACATTGCTTCCTGTCACACCTCCAACATTTTGGCACTATTGGCCAGTGTGTTTCTGCCTTTTACTTGTAGATCTGTCTGTCCTGGTGTTTCCTGTCCAATCTCTTTTATTAAACTGTATATCAAACTGATCTAACCATGCTTTAAAATGACAACTTAGAGTTTTGTGTTCCTTAAAACTGCATTTGGCTGAGAGGTACTGAGGAAAGAAACAGAATTATGTTTTTAAATTCTCATATCACCAGATGTCTGAGCTCAATCTCTTTCTATAACTGTGTCAGCTACACTGACAGAAAAGAAACTGTACAAAAACATTACAAGGTTTTCATCCTTGAGACCAACTTGGGGGACATTTTTCACTTTTTCTTTTATATGGAAGCAAAACCAAAAGGATATGGATATATGTGAGAGCAGTTGATCCTTCCTAACTGCACAGAGAAGTAGGGCTGGAAGATATGGTATATCGAATTAGCCTAATTTGATTAATTACATTTTTTGTTTTTGAACAATGTGAAAAATTCCAAAATCAAGATTAATGCTTCCTCTGCTGTCACTCCAACACCAGGGCCAGCAGTTCTCAGAATCAACATTGCTGACGTCAGTGTTTCTCCTACATAGGGCCATCTGTGTCACTTTTAAGTTGGCTGCCACAGAATCATGATGATGAAAATTTAATTATGCTATCTTAAATCAAACCACAAAGCTGCACCAAATGCCACATGACTGGAGAGAAACTCAGTGCTGTCAGGGATCTCGTGAAGAGGAGTGTGAAAAGTAGATAGTCAGAAGAGCTTTTAATGATCACAATAAGTTCTGTTTAGACAAATGTTTAATAAACACCATTAATTAGGAGGAAGCTTTAGCTGCTGCCTTAAACAGCACATCTGGGAAAGTGAAAACACAGCTGAGGCCTAAGATAATGTTTTAAGCTCTGATACAGTAGGGTCAATGTTATCATGTCACGCCCTCCGATGTGTGTCATTTGTATAGCACCTGTTGGCAGTGAAATGGATCGATTTTATCAAAGGAAAGAATAACGTACATCTGAACTGGTTTGCTGATAATATATAAATGTGTACAGCACAATAGATAGTAAAGAGTTTCTTCATTACCATCAAAGAGCTCTGAATCTGAGATTTTCTCTGCCTTTCCTCACATCTTATCCCTCTTGTCTCTCATTTGTCTTTGCCTGCTGCATTGATGTCTTCCTTGTTACCTCTGTTTTGACTTGTATGGTTGTGAATACTTAATCATGCTGAAAATGCCACACTTTTATTCCTCGAAGGCTTTATTCTTATTCCTCTCATCTTTTTTTGGAGTGACATATTCCTTGATGGTAGGTGGGATGTGCCACGCACAGTTCATACAGCCTTAAAAAGTATGTGTATCATGTGTATCTTTGCATACTTATCAACACCCTTATTTAGATTACTATTGATTAGTTTTTTTCTTTTGGATACTCTCCCTTTTTTCTTAAATTGGCTTGTCTGGCTTTATTTAGTCTAGAAGGGAGTTAATGCATCGTTCATGAAGATAATCCTCAGCTCCAGGCTCCTAACACGTCTTTTGTTTCTTTTAAGATGGTGCTGAATGTCTACACAGCAGTCTTCAACAGACAAACTCAGCTGCTGCTTCAGAATAAGGTAGGACAAACATCAGTCTGCGTGTTACAGAGAGCATGCTACAAAATACAGAATGAGCCCACAGTGTCTTTGCTCGCACACTTGTGTGAAGCATTCCGGTATGTGTGTACGTGCGTGCTTTTGTGTGAACCCATCACTTTTAATCCCCAGCAGAGTATGCACTGAGGGCTCGGCTGCCTTTGAGGCTCTTCTTAAGGTCTTTCTTGGGAATCAACTGCTGCTATATGGAAAAAATTTGCAAGGGGTCACAGCAACAGCACATCATCACCACTATCACAGGGGTGAAGACATACTCTGAAATCTGAGTATGGCCTGCTGAAAGCTTCTTAAACAGAATTATAGTTGAGATATTTGATTATATGTTAGTGACATAAATTGTATATTTTTATAAGATGGAAGTTTTGCTTCTTTATGATGTTGATCATGCATGTGTTACACTGAACTGGCCATCTGAGCTCTGGTGAACTTTGTAGTCCATTCACTTTCTCACACAGTGTTCAGTACTATTAGGCTGTTTTATTTTTAAATTTTAACCAGCTGGGATATGGTTCTTTTGAAGTGATGCGCCTGATGAGTGTCTTGTGTCAGGGGAACTGAAGCAGTGACTCATGTTATCTGGCGGACAGTGATTGCATCCGTCTCCATTGTTGAGTTTTTGATAGTACTACTACTCTTACTGATACTGTTAATCATTCCAGTACTTGAGCAATGGTACTGTTATTGGAATATTTTCATTTGTATATTTTACACAGTAATGTTGGGTTTGACACAGCATTTGCAGTTTGTACAATCAAGGATTAAATCTTGGAATATTAGGCCAATGTGGGTCCCATCTTTCCTCTGCCCTCTAATCTCCTGCTCCTAACCCTGTAACCAAGAACGTGGATAGTTAAATTAGAATTTACTGTTTTAATTTAGTTTTAATGATCACTTTAAAATTGTTTGTCAAGTCTCAGTCCCCGAGCATAGTTTAAACTTTGTATTAGTTTCCTGGTGGGTGCTAATTCAAAGAGCTGATTGTTTCTCTATTGGTATCTGTTCACCACAGTCAACTGACATAGTCCCCCCACCTTCTGTCTCTTTGTCCTATTCCTGAGGTGTCGCTCTCAGCAGAACCATGAAAACCATCTTGAAGGAGACTGAATTATATTTCTCTTTTCATTTTTGCCCTTTTTTCTAATTGCCTCAAGCATATGCTCTCACACAAAGATGCCATTCTGACTCATGGCTGTTCATCGTGTCACACTTTTGTTTGCCAGAAGACAGCGGGTGGGAATCTATGGTTTTATGGGTGCAAATGTATCTACAAGTATCTTTTATCAACCACTACTTCCACCATGGGCTATGATCCACCTTTCTCTCTGGCAAAACGTGTAAAAAAACTATTCATATATAATCGTGTTAGCGGTAGAAAGGTGCTTTTTTTGTTGCTATTGATGTTGAAAAGACAAAGAATTTCCTTTTCGTTCTCCCTCCTTGTATTTCTTTGGGTTATGTGGATCACTGAAGAAAAACACAAATACACAAGAGCAGTTTACATTGGTAATGTGCATTAGCTAACTGAGCATTCACGCCATTCTTTAAATGCACAACAGTACCATATGCATGTGTATAGCAGGGTTATAATAGTTTTTCATTTTGATATTTTTGGATTCAATCTAAATTTCCATTTAGTTTTAGAAAGTTCTGCCAGTGGTTTAATTAGTTTCAGTTTTTATTTTATGTACTGATTTCTCTTTGGTTTTAGTTTGTTTTAGTTAAGGATACAAGTTGTCAACGACTATGAGGATATCAACATGTCAAGACTGAAACATATATATTTTTGCAGTTTAGACTGGCAAAGCCTGTTATTACACAAAGGTACAGTCCAAAAGAATGTAAGAGTCTGCAGAGTACTCATTGGGAAAAGAGGTTCAGTGTAAAAGTTTCCAAAGACTCAAGGTTACAAAAGTATAGGAGTACTTAAAATAATCAGAAAAGTAAAAGTAGTTTGTACACTGTGTAAAGATTTGTTAGCACACTGTACCACAGCAGCACTAGCATTATGCACGAGCACCTGAATAGAAAAACAGAGGAGTTATTCTGGATAATGAACTGCTAGAAAAGGCAAAACTGCTGTAAGTGTTGTCAGTTCATGTTTATTAAATTAGTAGGGAGAGCTGTTTAATATCTTTTGTCCTTGTATAGCAGCTAAACTCATTAAAACCATAACGTCTGCTGCTACCTTTGAATTTCCACTGAATAAGTGTATGTGAAAATGTTTCAGCTTTATTCTGTGTTGACTGATAGTGTCAGTGTATATGTGTTCATGCCTTCTTCTAAGCAGTCTAAGGTTCATCTGTGTTGTGTTTGTTGGGACATTTATCTTTTTGTAGGTAAATTAATCATTTAGATGAGTTGGTGAAATAGTTGATAGATTAATCGGCAAAAATCTGCCAGAGCAATGACATCTGCAGAAACTGTTTTTTAGAATATGCAGTGACAGACAGATTATTTATGCTGAGACTTGTGTTTTGTTTTGTCTTCATAAATTATTTTAAGCAGTTGGGTAACTGTAGCCTTGCTTGTAAAAGGGTTAGGTTAGCATAGCATTCTTTCACAACCCATATGTATAGCATAGGTGCATTGCTTCCCCTGCTTCTTGGCTCTCATGAAATGTCTTACAGTGCATTTGAGAAAAGCAAAATCAGTAATGTGGCAAGGACTCGCTGACTTAAATTTACTTCTGCCCTGGTGGCCCCTGTTTACCCAAGTACTTTGTGGTGCTTTGTGCATTGTTTTTGCTACCTCACATTGTCATACCTGCAGTGCCATCACATCTGCATGATGCGAAGAGGCTTGTTGAGTGTTTATTTGTTTCAATATCCCTGCACGAGTCTGCTTGTTAATAGTGCAAGAGCGGCTTCATACCTCCACCAAATTATCCCAGTAGTGATGTTTTTGTAATGTCTGTCATTCTACCTTGCTGTTTGTATTAAAATTTGACTGTCCTT